TATAATATTAGAAAATTCATAAAATTGATAAAAAAAATATTAGGTACGAAATTGTATCATCTAAAAATTGTGACTATTTTTCTAAATATATAAATATATAGCATCTGAAAATTTGATGAGAATAGGATATAGTGTAGACACCAAATAACCTACTTCGAAAAATCAAATAAAAATGTGCTTTTATCTTGCGAATTCAAAGAATAAATCATAATATTATCAAACTTTATTGTTTCATTTTATTAAAAAATATGTCCATCACGTTTTATATATATATAACGAGTCCTTCAATTATTCGTATTCACAAGTAAATACGGCCAGTCCGAGTATCGATTAACCTCGTGTCTCGTTTATATTTTGCTCCGCCAAAGATCGATAAACCCGCCTTTCCGAGTCGTCGTCGTTCTTCGTTCTTCGGTCGAAACTAATTTCGCGCGTGGCTCGAATTTCGACGACTCGAAGAAAGGAAACTCGGAGGAAACAGAATCGCGGCGAAAAAAAAGAGAGAGAGAGAGAGACACGATGAAAATTTCCGGACCGACAGCATTTAATCGCGGAGAAGAGAAGTGACGAAAGGCTCGCGATAATTTTCTCGTCGGGCGCGATTTTTCTCGTCGTTCCTCGTCCAAAGGCGAGACGACGCGGCAAAAGCAGCCGCCACCTCGAAAAGGTTGGAAATAGAGAAATGGCAGGACGCGCGAAAGGTGAGAACGGAAGCGAAATTTTCACGAGGGTAAGCGAAACCCGTCCAGGTCGAATTCCCGACCTATTGCGAGTCGGCGGGAGCGAAGAATAGGGATGGAGAGGCAAGAAATCTTGGTGCCGGGCGTGACGGATAACGAGGGCGTTAATCACGCGTTATCACTCGCTCGTGAAGGAAGACGAAGGGGAACGACGACGACGCGTCGACGCTGCGAGATAAAGAGGAAGAGAGGACACGCGTGTTTCTGAAACCCATTTGTCACGATTTATTAAATAGTTAAAAAAAGCTCCAGATTATATTAAATTAACAAAAACCGCGAAATAATATTTAATTGGAACATATGTGTTTTTATTTTCCAAGCTTCGCATTGAATTACCATAATAATGATCAATTATTTTATTTTCATTATTAATTTAATTTTCAAGAAAGATACTTTCAATTTCCACGACTCTCTCTAATGACAAATATTAATTCCATAATAATGATCAATTATTTTATTTTCATTATTAATTTAATTTTCAAGAAAGATACTTTCAATTTCCACGACTCTCTCTCTAATGACAAATATTAATTCATACGATTTAATCTAACAGAACACTACATTAGAATTTGAAGAAAAAAGCGACTGAAGAGACACAATATTTGAATTTATAGATGCGTTATTAATTCATGATACCAGTTGTAACAACTTTGTATAACTAAGTATTTTATATTCTTGCTCGTTAAGACCGTCAAAACAAATCTTTTTATTAAATTTATTAATGATAAATCATATTTCTGATTGGAGTTAAACATTAAAACGACTTTAAAATTAACGTCTGGTAAATCTATACACAATCGAGAGCTTTTTCAAGCAACATTTTACTCTTCCAAATATATACGATATAGAAGATTTCAAAAATAAATTATTACCACGAGAAATTTAATAATCTCTTTGAAGATTATCTTCTATTGTTAAACTGCAACAATAACGTTAGTTGCGTTATACAATTATATTAACGTAGTATAAACAAAAATGAAAAATATTGCGGAAGTAAAACTGTGTGCGGATACAGTTACAAAGATCAGCTATAATTTCAAGCCCCCAAGACGACTCTGCACGTACCGTAAAAATGGTCGAAGCAATTCTCAAGGCGAACAATTTACAGTATGACGGCATTTCAAGGAGGGAGATACGAAGCAAGGAGCGAGATTCAAATGAGAAGTACGCCAACGATAAACAATGCGCACCTCTATTACTGTACTTACAATTGAATTTGTTTTCATTATCGTACGGAAGAGAAACACGAGAGCGAGCGTGAACTTCCAAGTTCGGTGTCGCGAATAGCGGAAACACGTTTTCACGCTTCAACGCGAGGGCTGGGAAAAAGTAGAGAGTATAAGGGATGAAAAGTAATGGCACGACTAGACTCTCGGCGCCGTTATAGTGCGGATAAACTTACGACACGTATAGACACAATGCGCCCGCGACAGCGAGAAAAGAACCCTCTCGAGTTTCGTTCGATCCGGATATCACGGTATGCGTTTCGAAGTCGCTCCAATAAAGAAAGCGAATTAAAAATTCAAGCCTGCACTCTCTTCTATTGCGAATCTCAAAAAAATATTCGCGGCGGAAGGTATTAATTGAATTCCTTTCTCTCACTTTTACCCGACCATTTGCTAATGCAATCTGAGATCTGATGTATTATTTTATTTACTCGATACTGATCGCTCGAGAGGTCGTACAAAGAAATTAAAGATTTATACTTTTTCGAAAAATAAATGGACCGAAGCACTTTGTTCGGATTAAAAATTGATTCCGCCGTTCTGAAGTTGCAGCTCGAAAATGAACGGTAATTACACGCCTCTATTGAATCCTTCACTCGGCCGGAATCAATATAGCTCTTTGACCTGTTCGCGATACTGCTTCCAGCTTTTGCTACACTAATGCAGTACGCCGTTTCTTGCGATTTCTTCATAGGCGACACGGGTCGCGTAAGCTGCGGCAAGAACTTGGCAGTTAAGAAGTTAAGAAGCTGCTCGCGGATATCCGAACGAGTTTATGGTACGTTCGTCCAACAAAAATTCGAAACGCGCTGTACGAGATTTAACGGTGAGGAAAACTCGGAGCCTTCACTTCGCGAGAGAAAAAGAGAGCGTCAAACAAGTTCTTCGGCCGCGCTTTCTTCGAGCTCCCTGGTATATCCTTCTTGCCCTCCATCTAATGCGAACTACGTCGATCTAATTTCGCAACGACATTAGGCGGCTTATGTCCACGAGCGATAACGAGATCGCGTGTCGTTACCAAAAGCGGTATTTCGTGTCGCGTTAAATGATGCTTGCGGTATCCTTGAGTTGTCGAAAATGTCATTTGCAACAACGAGAGGGTTGCGAAATAATATATTTCAGAAAATTAGAGAGATGGGCGGAGAAAAAAGAGGGATATCTGACGAAAATAATTACCAGGGTTGTGCTTGATTTTTTAATTATCTAGATAAAGATGATTTTGAATTTAAATATATCTAGATAAAAGGTAAAATTATACAGCGATTCATCTAGATAACTTACAGACAATATTATTTTTAAAATCGCTTAGGTAAACAGTTATAAAAATGTAAATTATCAAAGGAATATGAATATACGTATATTCATACTTTTATTTCAAGTTTCTATTACTTAAGTATTTTATGACTCTAAAGCAAATTATCTGAATATTATTTATTTAGATAATTTAGTAAGGATAACAGATGCAGATATAAATATATATTTTTATTTAGATAACAGCAACACTGATAATTACTACAAAATCTATTTTAAATCTGTCAAAAAGAATATCTCAATATGTTTTATCAAATAAAAATTAATTCGTCGCAAATTGAACGAATTGGCAAAAAGATTTCGGTTGATTATTTAAATTAAATAGCGCTGCGCATGAAAGGAGGAATAATAAGGGATGAGAGGGTCGGAAGTTCTTTATTTTCTTCATCGCATTAAAAAGAGCAAGGTTCGTTCATCGGGTGTGCTGCTTGCATACACGAGCAACTTGGCCAACTGTAATTTGTACGCATATTGGGGACTCGTCCATAATCCTAGTGTTGAGAAAACGTGACCCACCGACCCGAGTTTTAATTCGCCGCGTATATTTCAAAAGCCAACACATGAAAGACAGGGAGATTGCGCGATTACGATAAATGCACAAGATCGAAATTACGACTGGAATTTATGTTGCCTATTTCATCATCAGCTGATCAACTTCCATAGATTTAAATACTCCCGACATTCATATTTCATATTTGCAATATTAACTATTACAAATGCGCCTTTCAATAAACAGCTTAAAAACACGTCAATCGATGTTCTTATTGTTAGACAGATTTAATAAGATTATCGATTTGTTTCTTTTATTTTTCAGAAGTAAAAAAGCCGATATCCTGCAAATTACGGCTCGTGTCAAACATGTGCTTTTCATTTTTGTACAGAAACGAGAGTAATTGAATTTGTCTGCGTTTGAAATAATGAATTACGTTCCTACAATTCAATATTCAGAGACAATAACATAGAAGAGAGTCCGCGTAATAAAGCGAAATAATATGGAACGATCGAAAGCTATAATTAAAATCTAACGTTACTAAGTAACTTTCGACTCTCTGCAGACTCTCGAAATGGATTATTGCCAAACACGCGACGTGATCGATCATCCGTGGCGCATTAAAGATCACATCGTCCTATCATAAAATTCGCAAAGCAGCAAACGATCAATCTGTTTACTTCTATTTTCACCTTGTGTTGCTTTGAATAGCAAAGGTACTTCGAGAAAAACAGGTCTCGGCATCCTTGCGTCTTTTATACCAAAGATATGTGCGTAGATATAGACTTCGTCTTAAAAGGAGTCTACCGCCCTCGGCATATTTCGTTTTTACGTCTATATTCTCTTCCTTTCTTATAAAAATATTTCTTGTGATTACAATGAAAATCGTAAAATATATTCATTATTATTATTATTATTATTATGTAAAGAAATAATAATTTTTAAAATAATGAGGTAAAAACTGCTTGCGCCTTGATGACAAACGAATTGTATAAAAATTAAAAATGTAATAAGACTGCGAACGAATTTGAATAATCTAATGTTTAAAGACAAATAATATTTAATTTCTTACGATTTTCTAATTGCAACACGCTATACGATTTCGAGATGAAAATCGTCGTTGAAATAAATAAGGTCTATTAAAATGTATTAGCAAGAAATTAGCTTGAATCTCGGAGTCTTAAGTCGGTCCCCGAGGCGATACAAACAGAGTATATACCGGGTGCGACTTACCTCGAATGCAGAGCGCAGCCGCGTTGCACCGTGATGTAACTCGACGCTGGTGGTGGTGGAGGAGTGAGATACGGTGCTGGTAGTAGTGGTGCTGGTTCATGTCTGTGTGAATGGTTGTGCTGATGATTATGAGAATGGCTCAGGGTAACTCGCAGAGTACCAGGCAGATGGCGATGTGGCGTAGACTGCTCGCTGAAACATCAACGGGAAAAAACTTGGTCAGATCGATGCCGAGATTCTCGCTCGTGGTTATATTCTTTTTATTCGCCACCGGGTATATACCGATGGGTCCGTACCAATGGTCGACCGTGCAGAAAGATGTCGTCTGTCGGTAACAACCAGCGTAAGATAAAATCAGATTCGCCAAACTTGGGCTTTTCAATTTAAACAGATTGGAGTTGCATATATTTGCAGGGTAATATATGTATTTAGTTTGCGTATGCAAATTATTGTAGTAATTTTCTAACTCTTTTGTATGTCATAAAATGTAAGTTTGTTGCTTTTTAATATAAAAGATGTTTTTTAAATTTTATTTTTTAATCACACAAAAAGATGTATAAATTTATAATATTAAATTACATATTAATATAAAAGAAAGATATTTTTTAAATTTATTTTTTAATTACGTAAAAAAAGGTATAAATTTATTAATTTCATATATATGAGAATGCAAGTTTATCAAGATGAAAAATTTTAAGATATTTCCTTTTATTGAGTTTCCATCTTTTTGTAATAAAGTATCTGCAGAAGGAACAATAAAATTATTCTCTCCTCAACTCCATCTTATAAATTTGTTTATAGAAACAAAACTCCTTTTCTCTTTTCCTCTTATTTTCTTTTGTTTTAAATCAAACTTTATTTGAAAAATTATTATTTATTTTTGTACTTTTCTTTTAATAGAAACGTTTGTCACACATATTTTTGTCAGAATTAATTTAATACCCAAAAAGCTCTTTTTCTTATCCAATAAAATATTAAATAGATATCTGATTTCATATAATATTATCAAATCAGATATGCATTTAATATTTTTTCAAATTAAATCGTATGCTTATTTTAATCATGGCGGCACGCCTTCCTGCATTTTTATCACAATTATCGATCAATAAATAAGATATAATACATTTTAAAGACAAGTATTGATCGACAATAAAATATAGATTCGTAAAAAGAGAATGACCTCATTGGTGAGTAATTTTCTTTGTAAATAAGAGAAGCAACAATGCACAAAACTCTTTCAATACGTTTTCCATTATGAATGCGTTTTTTAGGACTCGATTTGTTTTCACACCTGCCAGCAATTACGTAGAGGGACGCTCGTCACATCCGGTCATAAAGCTCACCATTGCACCTGGCCCCCTTATCCAGAAATTCTGGTGTGCATAATACACGAATTCAGAAATTTTACCATTTTTTGTTTAAAACATTTTTATATATCCGATTTTAATCCCTATTTATGAAAGAAAACATTGGTACTAAACTAATTAAAAGATTGACTTTTTTTAACTTTGCTCTGGATAAATTTCTGAACTTGTTTCTAAATTTGAGAATAAAAATATGAGATTATAAAGCAAATTTGAAATGATATATTAAAACAAAAATATCGCAACTTATGCAGACTGATGTTTCATAAGTTTGATTTTAATTCACGTTCAAATTTAAATGTTCTCTAGTAATTGCAAAAAAGATTTTGAACCGAGATTTTAATTAAAGTGAAATTCGCGTTATGAGTATAATAATGATTTGAAATTGTGAGACGTTTCGTAAGTAGATGATTTTATCGTTACAACAGCGCGTGAAGCCGAACGTGAGACCGGAAGTGTCGAAAGGAACGATTCAAGTCTCCTTTATAAGTGTCAAGGACTCTTATCTACCCCACCGAACTAGTTTCCCCGTTTATCGGACAGTGCCGCTATCGTTTAGCCGTCTGATAAAAAAGGGAAAGGAAAAAACATACATATACATATAATGCACGATACATATGTAATGCACGCAACAGCATAAATTAACAGACTTCTCATCATTATAACGGAACTCTAGAAATTTTTCGAGTTGCAAAACGACGTAACATCATCCTTTGACGGCGCGTTTGATGAGCTTTTTAATAAACCGATAATAATTCCGTGCAAGACGGAACTTTGATTGCATACCATCGACCCGAGTATGTGCTCCGAAACGAAGATGGGAGCACAAACTTCTAAGAATAGCGATGCTTGGGACAAAATAAAGACTGACGTGCGTTTCGTGAAAGAGAGTAATTAGACGCGCCGCGTCGGTTGTTATCAAGATCCATGCATGTAACAGTGAACTGCTGAGTAATTAGACGAGAGCAAGAATAAACAATAACACGAGAAATCCGATCAATGGCACGAGTACTCCTTTCATTTCGGATTCCTTTTAAGATTCTTTAAATAATGCAATTCATATAACATTGTTTAATGAGAACTCGAATAAAATCAATATTTCGTTAGTTATAACTATTAGTCAAATATTGTATAAAGACCCTTTTAATTCCTACATTGAAATTTTTCTATAGAAACAAAGTATTTTTATTTCGTGTCTCTGATTTTTTCAACAGCTTTCATTCATTTTCCTTTCATTTCGGATTCCTTTTAAGATTCTCTCAATAATGCAATTCATATAACATTGTTTAATGAGAACTCGAATAAAATCAATATTTCGTTATTTAGAACTATTAGTCAAATATTGTATAAAGACCCTTTTAATTCCTACATTGAAATTTTTCTATAGAAACAAAGTATTTTTTATTTCGTGTCTCTGATTTTTTCAACAGCTTTCATTCATTTTCCTTTCATTTCGGATTCCTTTTAAGATTCTCTCAATAATGCAATTCATATAACATTGTTTAATGAGAACTCGAATAAAATCAATATTTCGTTATTTAGAACTATTAGTCAAATATTGTATAAAGACCCTTTTAATTCCTACATTGAAATTTTTCTATAGAAACAAAGTATTTTTTATTTCGTGTCTCTGATTTTTTCAACAGCTTTCATTCATTTTCCTTTCATTTCGGATTCCTTTTAAGATTCTTTAAATAATGCAATTCATATAACATTGTTTAATGAGAACTCGAATAAAATCATTATTTCGTTATTTAGAACTATTAGTCAAATATTGTATAAAGACCCTTTTAATTCCTACATTGAAATTTTTCTATAGAAACAAACTATTTTTTATTTCGTGTCTCTGATTTTTTCAACAGCTCAAAAATATGTCTATAATTTTGAATTTTTATCCCGCGAACATTCGCGAGGGATTATGGAGTAAGTTTTAAACAGGAATTCGTTGAAACTATCGCGACGAGTTTGCGGATCAATATGTAGAACGATTTAAAAATGCAAAGTCCTAAAAGTCCGCCATGAATGCTGGTGCTTGCGACGTATGTAATTCAAGACCGTCGTGCAAATCCTGAGAGGGTTCGTCGCGCAAATGTTTAACGGGGAAGTCACGAAAGAACACAGTGCGGTTCATGTATCCGTGCAATTCCGTACCCGTATGCGCAATAAGTTAGGCGAGCTCGGCGAAAGAAGAAAAGGATAAACGGGAGAAGCGTCAGGTCGGAGGCAGAAGGGAAAATTGTCAAGTATTTGAGCGTATGAATGTTTCAAAGTGACGGCAAAGACGCGCTTTTATTCCAGGCCGCAGAGCATGCACCTCGAACTTTACACATTTTACGGGCGAAAAATTACGACTCGCGTTATTTGCAGTGAAAAAAAATCGCGCGCGTAAGACGTAAATCAAAAGACGAATGAGGCTGCGGTATGAACATTTTTTACTCTTCTTTTGTATAACAATAGTCAAAGAAATAAAAAAAAAAAGAAAAACCACAGAGACATAAAGTTCGGGCAATTGCATTTTCAGATTAACGGCTGCTTGCATTTTCTCACGTGTGCATTGATATTATTTTTAATTTTCCATACTGCAGTCAAAAAAATCTCTCTGAAGCTGGGATTACTCGCAAAATTTTTAATATAAAATGGCAATAAGTATCGCAATCGTATATTTTTAAAATTATATAATTATAAGGATACCGCAGATGTCTATATAAAATCATCTACTAATTGTGTAAGATAAATGTGTATTTCTCTCTTCTCGAATTTGTTACGGTAAACTTAGAGCAGATTATTAAAATTTTTTCCTTCCTATGTAAGAATATTAACAAGAAAGAAAAAAAGAAAGTCTCGAGAAGAGACTTTACTTGATTAACGAAAGAGTTTGAAAACATTGCGGAAACATCAGGAAATACAAAATTGTTTACTTCCGATATTGCGGTGGTCCCTTTTGAAAGAGCATATTGCCGCATATACATTCGAAGGATCGCCATGATCTTTTCAGGGTCGATTCCTCCGACATCGGTAAAATCTCTCAAGCTTAACGCAGCGATTCCCAACTTGCAGTTTGCATTTCTCTGGAATTCGCAAGTATCGTTCCAGAGAACGCGCAATAAAAAATTCTACAATAGCATCTGTCGCAATTTCTTCGTTGTCGACAGCGGACAATAGCATATTTGAATTCCTTCACATGCAACAAGACAATTTTCAAATTCTGTATAATCTTATATATATTATATAATTTCTAACAAATATATGTTTAATCAAAAACATTATTACTCGGTAAAATTAATCAAAATTCATTTGAAAAATAAATAATGTAGCTAAACATAAGAATTTGTATTAGGCTAACAAGATTCGGAATTTTTAATTTTAAGTTTAAAAACCTGGCAGAGGCATTATATTATACTCCGATATTAAAGAAAAACTTTTCGATGAAATAAGTTGAGAGTCACTGCCTTAACTAAGTGGTCTTTGTTCTTTCTACTTGAACAGCTTCGTGTAAAAAAGACATTAATGTAAACTGAGGTTTAAAGCTCTCAGAGGGAAATATCGATTCTTAGGTATATCTCACGATATCGCGGTGACGGACAATTTCGCAATAACATCCTTTGATCTCGTAACAATTTTTTCGTTCTCATTGATAATAATATCACGGTTCGTACTAGAAACGATCGTACAAGTCGTGCACCAACTTTTGCATCGAAACGATCGGAACGGTGAAAAAAAACGGAGCGAGGAAAAGAGAAGGTAGAAAAGTATGATAATCGGAAACTGATGGCAAGGTATCTCCATGCGGGCATTGGCTTTTACGGCAGATGCTGCCTGACTGGAAATTACCTTACATCGGCCAGGAGAGATGGCCCCAACAGGTCTTTCGATGTTTGCGAACACCTTCGAGGGTCGAAAGGATGCCGCGCAAATAACTCCGTCTTTCAAAAAATGCAAACGTAATGAGCCAAACAATGTCCCGATTATATTTTTAATGGCAATTGAATAAAGCTTATCTATTCTTTAATAGCCGATGATATCATCGATATAGGTATCGATGTAGTGCAAAAGTGTGTTTCGGAGATAAACGTGTATACCTACTAATCTTTCTTTAATACAGTGGTGCTTTGATTTTTATTTCATCAAGATACGTTCAAATACAAAATTCTTGCGATTTATAAAAGTTTTAGAAAAAATGGTGCATCGCACACTATAAAAAAATATGTAATGTATTACATAAAATAAGAAATAATAAAAATGTGTACAGTTTCATTATTTATAATGTAATTTTACACTAATTATTTATGTAATTTTACATATTTTTTGCAGTGTAGGAGATGAGGTAACATCGGCTTATAAATACGATACCGAAGGATCATTTTATGCGTTTTATATTACCGAAGGATGCATTTTAGGAGCAATTCATTATAGTCTTACAAGTCACTTGGTTCGCATACGGCGAGCATATGCGACTCGACGTTCGAATCTTGCCGAAAGCATATAGTCGCCAACTTTAGACACACATACATGTACACAAAGAGCCGTTCTATACTTGACCTTAATGGCGTTGCTCCAATACGCCATCATCATCGCGGTGGTCTCGAAGACCCCGTGTTTTTCTTTTCTCTTTTGTGTACAGTTTGTATTTTTAATTAAGCCTCGTGTCCTTATCGTGTTTATATTCAGACAAATCGTTGAATTTCGTAAATATAGCATGAATATTCGAATTTTTCAATATTCGTCATCGCGACAACATTTTTTAAAATTAATTTGAACCGACAAAGTATAATCACCATGTTTTTTCCGCACATTTTATATTTATAGATCGTAATCCCTCGTTAATATATAGATTTGCCATACCGAAGCGTATCAACAAGCGCAATCTCGACCTGCGTTCGCCATTAATCCGGTACTTCGATCGGAATACTCCAAAGCATGATTGGAATTCGCTCTATTATCGTGGAAGAACGTTCGCCATGCAGAATTCTTCGCGCAGAAGTACCGCTAGAGATATCAGAGTCTCGAGTATTATATGTATTCGAGAATGAGAATTTCTTTTATAAGATGCACGCGCGCGCACGTGCTCCATTTTTCCGTTGCCCGTTTCCTTTATCTCCGACAGCATCTAGATACGAATTTTTCAACTGCATCGTGAAAACTATGAATTTTTTACGTGTGGCATTAACGTCGTTCCGTTCACGCGCGCGCACGTCAAGTATGCAGTAAGACGATTATATTGTTACACAATTTAATGCGCCGTAGCGCGAAATTATTTTCGATGCAGTAACCATTGTATAACGAATTTACAACTTGACATAATAATCTACACTTACGAACATATACGTCCGCGTTAATTGAATAAAATTTAATTTAATATTCATTCAATTTAATTAAGGGACTTGAAAAGGGATTCATTGTGTTTTTGCTCCGAATAAAGAGAGCGCTTTAATATTTCGTGTCATTCAAAAACCAAACACACACCGGTCATCAAAATAATTCATTTAATCATTCTCATTTAAGAGGGATGACATTTATACGACTTGGAATTTTAATAAATATACCGTGGGCACGGAAATTATTTAATCCCTTCACGCGTCCACTATGTAAGGTTTCCGACCCGACTTGGTAAGTCGCGATCGTCGAACCGGATCGAACGAATCCGTACGAGTGCGCCGAGAAAAATACCTGGGTACGTTGTTACTCTTGAAGCTGACCATTACTCCGTACTTCTGCAGCGTCGAGGGACTTATCCACGATGTGGTTGTCGGAGCACGCTAAACGCTACACCGCATTACACTCGGCTGCATACACCCACACATACATACACACACACACACGCACGCGCGCGCGCACGCACACACACATACGCAACACAGGTAACACACCCACACGCGATTCTGTCGGCAAGCATCGGCGCGGCAAAGAAAGGAGTAATGTGCGCGCGACCACGTGCACGTAACACTCTTCCGACAAAACAATACGCGTCCTCTCGGTCGCGCGTCTCCGGGCGGACTGACTGAGCAGCCACACTCCGCGCTCACTACACCCCCACCCTTACGTCGGCGCCGGCCGTCGACTCTCTTCCCTCACCCTTTCAGTCTTCTCTTTTAGCCGGCCGCTGTCTATGATAAGAATATCGCGTCGTTGTTCTTACATCGCTCCTTTAATGAATTAACTAATGTTTGTTATTGCGGAATAGAAAATTTAAAGAAAAAATAATACATATATGCTGATATATATTGTGTAATGCAGAATTTTTTAATAAAAAAACGTGTAAATGTTGGAGCATCTTCGATTAAACTTTTTTGACATTTTTCTTTTTTTTTTTTTTTTCTTCTCCATTTCTTTCACGAGAGTAATAATTTAATATTATAAATGTATTATAAAACATAGAGTCATACAACTAAAGAATTGTAATTTAATTCTAATTTTAAAAGTTTGAAATTTTAAAAATAATTTTAATTTTTATTATATTTTAATTTCAATTTTTAATTTTAGATTAAGATTTGTGTAATTATGTATATAAGTTAAACTATTAAATTATGTAAATCTTTATGGAATTAGAATTTATGTACGCATGTATGTATGTATGTATGAAAGGTTTAGGATTTTGTAAACCAAGTTCCTTTCTTGGCTAGAAGCTGCGTGTGCGAAATAAACTCATTTATTATAATAATAATTTAATATTATAGTGTATAAAAGCTGTAATTAGAGAAATTAAAAATTAAATTAACAATTTTGTAAACAAGAAATAAATATATGTATATGTATTTGTTTTACTTTAATGTATCATTATAAATTTTTTCTCTATATTTTTCTATAAATATATTTTTTATGTAAGTCCTTTATTAGATAATTTATTTTCTTAGAAGAAGATAAATGTACGTGTAGTGTTTCATTAAAATCACTAACAGTAAAGCAAGCCTTTCAAAGAAGAAGGAAATTATAGAATCCGTCCCTGCCGCAGCTAGTAAATGCATCCTTCCGTCGTCTCTCACAAGTTCATTGCTTTACCGTCTCTGACAAGCATATCTTTGTCTCATCTCTCTCTCAAACGCGACCTCTTACCGCCTCTTGTCGGTAGCGAATTTATAAAATATATTAGGATACCCTCTAAATTTATAAATTCAATTTCTGATCAGGATTTCCCTCATTTTCATTACTCGAAATAATTACAGTTCGCGCAATAATTATCTCTTTCTTTCATTTTTCTCTTTATATACTTTCGCGAATAATTTTTGAAAATTTTAATTAGAAAAATAATCTGAGTTAATATTCTTCCTCTTTTTCAATGGACGATTTTGAACTTTATACATTACTCGCAATTTAAAGCCGAATACATCACTGTCTCTGGTAAAAGCGGCATATCGCTGTCTCTCGTAAATGCAGCCTTCCGGCGCAACGCTCGTAAATGCAACGTTTCGTAGTGTCTCGCGAGTGTGCATCATTCATTCCATCGTCTCTCGGAAGCACAGCGTTTAGGGAGTCTCGTAAACGTACCGTTCCGCTAGCCTGTGTGCGGGTTACCGTCCTTTCTTTCATTGTCCCCCTTCAATCCGTCTCTGATGACAACCGGCGCAGCTCGCGCGGAAATCCATAGCCGACTCAGTTACGTTTTCTTCGTTATATGTATATATGTAATATATTGTATGTGTGTACACAGCAGAGTACGTCTCATATATAATTAACGTCTTTAAAATAAGAAAAACAATTTTCATTATTCCAAGCAATCAGTGTTCGCTGTTATTTAAATAAAACTATATAAATGGCATCTTAGATGAAAAAAAAAAAAGTATTATCTTTATAACTAATATTAAATTATCTAGAACAATTTTCAGATAATTTTGGTTTAGAACCAATAGCACATAAAAATAGTTAAATAGTAGACATATATTTTTATATCCCTTTTATAATTCACACTTTTTTATAACTGCGTTTACATAAGCACTTAAAAATTTTTATTTAGAAAATTATCCATAGATGAATCGCCCTATAATTTTATCTTTTATCTAGACATATTTAAAACAAAATCATCTTCATCTTATCTAAGACAAATTTATATATTTTTATCTCATCTTTATCTAGCTAATTTTAAAGTCATCTAAGCACAACACTGCAAGCAATTCAATCTCCCTATTTAAAGTAATTGTTTCAATTATGTTGATTGGAGATTGTAATTTGAAGAAAAAAATAATAAAGCTTTTGAATGTATAAAATTCCAGTAAAAAGTTTTCCATACCATTAAAAACAAAATAAATGGGAGAGATTATAAGGCACATTCCTCGATATATTAGACGAAATTACGTATCGGGGAAGAAAGTTCATTTCACAGAAAATACTTCCGGGTTCGCATACGAGGGACACGTTGGAACGCAAGTAACGAGATTTTAGGATGTACGGAACAACGGCTGCGGAATATCGTCGACACGCGTTATTTCACGTGGATTTTGACGTAATGTTCGTTACGCTTAAACATCGGTGTGCTTCCACCGCGTATATGCAGCTCCACGGAATCTCTTGATTGAACTTTCCCGTCACGTCTCGTACCTTTCGGTTCAAGTTTCTCGCTTGTGCTCCAACAAAAGGCCAAGCGCTTTCCGACATGTTCTGAAAGGTGACAAGTTCTCTTCTCTGCGTCAAAAACTATTAACCGTCATTCCCTAAAGGTTCTCGGTCTTTATATCGCCTCCTGATCTTTATTGCGAATAACGCGTGTAAAATAGATGCGTTATTGCCCATTAAGAGAGAATTTGTTAGCATTTTTACCAATTAATCCGTATATTTTGTTAAAAAAACGGAGAGAGAAAGAGAGATATTTGCAATAAACAAAAATTATAGCTACTGTAGCTAAATTTTAGCTGTAGTAAATTTTAGCCTATATATACAGCTAAACTGAAAATAAAGATTTGTTAATTTGACTAAACTTTCAACTAAATTACTATTTTGTTAATTGAACATATATTAGTATATTTAAGTCAAATATTTTGTTAGATTTAATATATTACATCTAATTTAAATATTGTTATATTCAATTAACAAAATAATATTTAGCTGAAAAATTTAGTCAAGTTAACAAATCTTTTTTCAGTATAAAAATTAGTTATCATAGATAAAATTTAGACATGATAATTTTAATGATAATTCAGATTGTAATATATGGATATAACTAAAAGGCTATATGGTAGTTAATTTTTTTCCGTGTGTCAACAACAAATCATTCAATTAATATCATTAATGTCGCAGTAATTCTTGAAGAGATTACACGTATGTAATAAAATGTAAATAATTCGTCTTTCACATTTACAATTAGTCTCACGTCCATTCAATTCAAACGCCGCGCGAAAACAAAGCATTATCGCGTAATAAAACATATCCTTGCAATCGAATACGTTTATACGTACATGTATAACCATATATGTGCGTGTTAATTCTATCAAGTATAATATATTGAAATAAATTTAACAGAGATAATTCAAAGTATTTGCGTTGCTCACTGTGTTGTATACACAAGTGTTTCTATAAAAAAAATATAATAATTATCGGCTCGTGTAAATTCAAAAATTAATAAGAAAAAAAGGCCAACAAAGAAATTAGATGTTAAATAATTTGTATTTTAATATATAATCATAATTTTTTGAAAGGTGATTCTATAAATATTCTTTACTTCCTGAAGAGCAAGTGCGTCGCACTTGACGAAACTATTTCAGTATTTCATAATAATGTATTCCTGCACCTGCGGAGAAGAATATGAAAAGACAGGTATATACATATATTGTAAAGAAAGGGAGGCAGGTTTAGGTTCGAATTCTTGTCGCTATTGTGAACGAGGGTGAAAAAACAAGCTATTCATATTCAGCGAGTTGGTTCGTGTAGCATCAACAGGTAAACGGCGCGTTTGTTTAAAGATTGTTGAATTCCTAATACGAATATCAAACGTAATTGTTGAAGGAACTTCCAACGTTTTAACTCGTTCCCCAAAAGGTTTCGTTACATTCGCTTTTGCTGTCTCGTCTACAACGTCATTAATTCGGCTTTTGTTCCCGCAGTACGGAAGAGAGAGAGACCTTATCCGGGTCATCGATAGCAAACTCGATGTCCGTTCGTTCACCAAAATAAAATTACGAACCTTCCGTGGTCGACACGACGCAAGTCGCTCGACAATGGCAATCTACGCGATTTAACCCCGTAAAAGAGCATCGCTTTTGACTATCCCTGACAGAAAATGATTTTTTTTTATCCTAGTATATCCTCAATATGACTCACATTCTTTCTTTATTATGCGTAAACGTTTCAATATCACCTCGATTTATATGCATATACATTTTGAATAATTTAAATCACTTGAGGTTTAATGATAAAATGACAAAAATAATAACAAGTGATAAAGAATTTTGTTATGTTTTCTCGCGTGTTTATTTGTAATAGTCTTCACATGATTGTGCATTTTAAAGTACTAGAACAACGAAAGTGAATCGGCCGATTTCATGTATTACTATATGCGCGGGAGTTTTCCACGCGTAAATAGTAAATCTTAAATTTCTATTATATATTTATAATTTTAATTCTATTATGTATATGTACATAATATTAATTGGCCGAATTTCAATTATGTGCATAATTTTAATTCCCGAATTTCTATTATGTACATAATTTTAATTCTTGAATTTCTATTAGGCACATAATTCGCCGTATTTATATTATATATATTATGTAAACAATTGAAATTGTACATAATAGAAATTCGACCAATTAATATTATGTACATTTACATAATAGAATTAAAATTATAAATATATAATAGAAATTTAAGAATACAAATTATGTACATAATAAAAATTTGGCAAATCAAAATTAAAACATAATAAAAATTCAAGAATTAAAATTATTTACATAAGAGAAATACGGCAAATTCAAATTATAGCATAATAGAAATGAAAATTAGAGCATAATAGAAATTCAGCAAATTAAAATTATGCATATAATAGTAATTCGGTGAATTAAAATTATATACATAATAGTAATT